ATTGTACTTCAGGATAGATCTCACAATGTTCTTTTTTTAAAATGATGCAATGACTTTTCGATTTGTCGTTCCCTGAATAGTAGACCATATGATTATCTGACTCCAAATGAACAGTACCAATCCATTTCAGCTCACTAATGGCTACGATATGGATCTTTATGTGTTCCATTTCATTTTGACAACTTCTGATTTTCCTAGATTCATACTTTGTATATTCCACATTCTGATTAGTAGTGGTTGTTTGTAGCTGTTTTCTTTTCATTTTGTCATACCATATCAACAAATGAAGATTCTGAAAGCTTTACTCCATCCACTTCATTAAGGTTGACTCTACTTTGAGGAAGGAGCTCTGGTGGCATAGTAGGTAAGGCATTTGGCTGCAAGGCAGAACATTGGTGGCTTAAACCCACCAGGTGCTCTGTGGGAGGAAGATGAGGCCATCTGTTCCTGTAAAGATTTACAGACTTAGAAATCCTACGGGGTCTATGAATCAGAATTGACTTGATAGTATTGGGTTTTGTAATTTAAGGAGGCAACTCTTCCTTAGTCTTATTTTGAGTGTTTTCCAACGTGAGGAACTCATCTTTCAGCATTATATCCAACAATATTCTACTACTATAAGGTGTTTGCTGGGTGATATTACAGAACTAGATTGCCAGGTCTTCTTTCCTAGGCTATCTTAGTCTGGAAATGCCACTAAAACCTGTCCACCATGAGTGGCCTTGCTATACTGGTGGCAGAAAAAAAATAAAACAAAAGCCAGTAAGCAACATATATTTTTACCCTACAATTCAGATGAAATACGTTGTTGTTGTTGTTATGTGCCGTCAAGTCGTACCTGACTCATAGCGACCCCTCCTTGGGTTGCCGAGGCAGTATCACAACGGAAGTAGATTGCCCAACCTTCCTTCTGAGGAGTGGCTGGTGGGTTTGAACCTCCAGTCTTCTGGTCAGCTGTCAAGTGCCTTAGCCACTATGCTACCAGAGCTCCCAGATGAAATATACTGACTTATTATTGCTTGTTTCTGGCTGATGGATTCAAAATGGCTATAAAATTATATACATATAATCACACAAATTTCAAATGATCACTAGAATGTAATATATATATATACACATATATATATGTATCTCATCATGTGAAAGTACTGTTAGTGTTTTTCTCCGTGTAATATTATTTCCTTTCTTCTCTCTACTTTTTCATGCATTGTAAATATTCTATAATAAGCATATTGTAAAAGAGAAAAAAAAGAGAGAGAGAGAACTTTATGGACAAACATACTCTCCACACTGTCAACAGAATGAACTCAAAGCACTACCAAATGGCCTTCCATGATTGAGCGCTAATCTTTCTTCCTACAACTTTATTTTTCATTTTTCATTACCACTCTTCACACATCTTTTACTTAATAAAAAATTAACTCTTTACCTTTTCCTATATAGATCTTGAACTTTCTTGATCTGCATAGTATTTATGCTGATCTTGTGTTTACCTCCTTGTCCAAATCATTCTACTCCACCTATCTGCTATTTTACCCATGGGCTTTTTCTAAAGAAAGGGATCTTCTCCTGTACTAGATTATAACCAATCAACTTTCTTTCCTTCTTCCTTCTTATTAAATAGCTAACTTTACCAATTTTCTTCTGCTTCCCCTTTAATTTTTATCTCCAAATCTGCAATCTTAGTTTGGATAGTCTGAAGCATGTAAGATTGAGATACTTGACAAATGAGTGTATATCTGAAAGAATGATTGTATCAACTCATAGCAACTCCTCTTGGGTTTCCAAGGTGATATCTCTATGGAAATAGATTACCCAGTCTTCCTTCTGTAGAGTGGTTGGGGTCTTTGAACCACCAGCCTTCTGGTTAGCAATCAAATGCCTTAGGCACTATGCCACCAGAGCTCCCTCAACTAGAGGTAGTAAGAGTCATACAGTATCTTCCCTGATTATGGGAAAGCATGATAAATAGAAAGACAGGTATGAAAAGTTAACTGATAGAATGTTACTTGGATTAACTTCCAGCTTTTGAATCCAAGTTTGAATCGGGCTGAATTTAAGTTTTGTTCCAAGTCTCTGGATCCCTGAAAGACCAGATTTATAAAACCAGCTGTTTTTTTTTTTTTTTTCAGTTTGTGCTCCTCTAACAGATATACCACAAATGGGTGGCTTTAACAAACAAGAGTTTATTCTCTTACAGTTTCAGAGGCTGGAAGTCCGAGTTCAAAGTGCCAGGCTCTGAGGGCTGGGTGAAAACTCCTGGACCCTGGGCTTCAGCTCTGCCTCTTGCTCCCGGACCACTGAAGCTAGAGGCTTTCTTTACTCAGGCAGATGCTGGCTGCTGAAGCAGACAAACCCAAGGTCGCCAAGTAAAAAAGCAAAGTTCTAATATTACTAAAGCATACGGCAGGCCATTGATTCAAGTCTGTTAAGAGTCCCAAGGACAGCAGACAATATGGCTTGCTGCTGAGTGACGACTTGGGTACATGCAGGATTCAAGGGTACCAAGAGCTGCAAACCATTCCTAATGCTTCTCCTTATTTACTGGGAGTGGACCACAACCCTAACTAAGGCTGCTACTCAGCTACTCATAGTAGATTCCACCATGGAGTTGATTTTAAGTCTCATCACAGGGAATACTACATCCAACTACCCAGCCACTAAAAACCAAGCCCAGCCAAGTTGACACATAACCTTAATTACCATACCAGCTATTATCTATCTCTTGTATATATTTACCCATGTAATAAATGATTATTCTGTGGAAGTAATTTTAATTTCTACAATGAAAAAGACCAATTGTTTTTCTAATGTTCACAGCTAGCACTGTAAAGGAAAGTATAGAAGATAAAGAGAGGATTATTTCAATCCAGTGAATTATGTAATTTATGTTACTTCTCTAAGTATTTATGGAGCTGTGCAAAAAGGGTGTCTCAGCAGCCTCTGGCCTTATCTAACATCACGAGGGGGAGAGAGAGAATAAAGATGAACATGAACAGTCCAAGGCTGGTTCTTATCAGTCAGATGTCAGACAAGTAGCCATCCTCTAACCCTTTTGCTAATTTTGACACCAACCATCCCTCCCACTGTACTCTCTATTTCTCTGCTGGGATCTATAACTCATTGCAATGGCCACATAGAATTCACAGATTTATTAGGGAAGTAACAGTTATAGTTCAGGTTCAGAAATAAGTCAGGATACAGAGTTTTTCAATCAGAACAGCTTCCTCTCAGTTTTGCCTCAGTCTTGTTTCTCTCTGGCCTTGGTCTCTGCCTTTCTGGGGCCAGTGTTACAAAGCTTCTTTTAGCTTTGTTTATATGTGCCCAAAGAGGCACCCCAATCTGCCAGCAAGCCTCCTGCCTGAAGGCATTCAGCTTTCTTCCTCTGTGGGCCAGCAAGCCTACTGTTCTGTTTTGCGCTGGTCTCTTGGGTCCATTGGTTCTGCTGCATCTGCTGTGGCTGTCTCTCTACTGTCTCCCTGCCAAGGAGGTCCAGTGCAGGGATCTTGGATTCGAGGATGGTCACCACTCATGGCTCTTCTTTCCACCTCTGAGTTGGCTCATTTTAGGCCTGTTGTTATTGTTATGTGCCGTCGAGTCGGACCCAACTCATAGCGACCCCTCCTTGGGTTTCTGAGGCAGTATCACTACAGAAATAGATTGTCCCACCTTCCTTCTGAGGAGTTTGGTGGTTCAAACCCACCAGCCTTCTGGTTAGCAGTCAAGTGCCTTAGGCACTACGCTACCAGAGCTCCCCATTTTAAGCCTAGCAAATGGCAAAACTGACCAATCCCCATGTTAGGGCTCTATCCACCATATTTGCACAGTCTTACCCCCCCAGGATGCTATGTACCTTGTTTACATTTGTTGTTGTTATTTGCCATCGAGTCGGCCCCGACTCATAGCGACCCCTCCTTGGGTTTCCGAGGCAGTATCACTACGGAAGTAGGAATGCCCAACCTTCCTTTATTAGCAATATAAATTGCTCAATCCCCTTGGTGGGCCATAAGCACTTTACAATTGCATAGTCCCAGCTAGTCATCTGGTGGGAGTCACAAAGACCATGGGTAGAAGAGCCATGTTAAGTAATTTACTGCACCACAAACATCAATTTTCAGTCTATTATCCCTTAACAAATTAGGTACAGAATTAAAACCAATCATGAGATAACAGACACAGTTCCTTATCAAAAATTCTCTATATTCTGTCCTGTCCCTGACAATTTCCTCCTCAACGACTAGCAGATCCAGCCAAAAATTATTAGTAGGTATTTCTCTGAGTAGCACAAACAGTTAGTGTAAGGTTGTAAAGAGGGGTCTGGGAAGAGAGGTCCAGCTATCTACTTCCATAAGGTCGCAAGCCATGAAAACCCTATAGAGCAGTATACGAGGTTTCTGTGAGTTTGAACAGATTTGATAGCAACTATTATTTTAAACCAAAGACTCAAAAAATGTACTCTTCTTTCCAATTTTCTTCTAGTTATAGACTATAGCTACATAAGTACAAAATTTCATTTATGTCTTATTACATTTTATATTAAAATATATTCTTTTTAAAACGTAACTGCTGTAGAAAGTTTTGCACATTTCTTTTTACCAAGTCAGCCAGTTTCTCCCCAGAAATGCACAAACATGAATTCATGTCTAGTAAATTCCAGTCCTTTTTATTTTTTCCAGAGTTTAAAAAAAAAAAAAAGTGTCCTAGTTTTCTCCTTTACCAAGACAGAAAGCATTTCCTGGAGATTAATCACTGTTTTGCTTTGCAATATTGGGAAGGTTGAGAGAAATTAATAAAGTAGGTTGTATCACCCTACTTTGAATTTGGAATTTTTGGAAATGGTGCTTTTGCTGTTTGGATGAAAGAAATTATGAGTCAGTCTGCGAGTGATCTAAACAAATATTGTGACTCTATAAAAGTTGGGCTCCAGAGGGTGGATCTAGAAGGAGATAGTCAGAGAGTGAGGCATTATCTTGAAGAAGAACTGAGTAAAGCCAATAGAAATGAAGAGTCTTCCAATCCTTATGTTTCTCTGTGTGGCAGCTTGCTCAACTTACCCTCTGGAAGGAAGAGCAAAGGATGAAGATTCTAGCATGGATCTTGTTCAGGTAATAAACAGAGGTAGCCATCCCACCCAGTGGTAGGGACAAGTGAGGGAACCACTTCTATTCTTAACAGAATGGTTCAAGCTTACTGTTTAGAACTAGTTCAGAGACAGAAGGTTGTAAAGTATTAGGTGTGGAAAGGGTTTCAGTAACACATTATTCAAGTTCCTCTTTTTATGGAAGAAACAAAGGGCCAAAAGTGTTGGGTTTTTTCTTGAGTTCACACAACACCATAGTGGAAGCAGCCCTGGGACTTCAGGCACATGAATAGAAAATGGAGCACAATGAAATGTGTCTTGTTTGGGAATTTCTTTAGATATTTTGATTTGATGGAATTTTAACTAAATGTTTGTATTACCTCAAGTCATGTTTAGACAAAGGGATTTGTCCAACTTTTCTGAAGCCAGATTCTTATGAGCAGTATAAAGTAGAAAATTGGGGAAATTGAATGACTTTACCTAAAATATACAACTATGTCAAAATAAATTCATTCATTTTGTTTGTCTTCTTTAAATGATCTGGGTATTATCTCAATTTTTTACTTCACTTTCATTGCTTTGGTAACAATTAAGTTGCAGAGGAACTCAGTCATAAAAACAAAACAAAGATAAAAGGGTAGATTTAATTCAAGAATTAAACAAACATGCCATTTATTTTAATTTCAGCAAAGTAGAAGACTACTCTAGATACATTAAGAAATGTGAGTAACTGTAAAAAATTATTATAAAGATATAAAAATTATGAGAATGACCTAAGAATTAATTATTTCATTAGCAATATCTAGAAAACTACTACAACCTTGCAAAAGATGCAACACAGTTTGTGAGAAGAAAGGACAGCAGCCCTGTTGTTAAAAAAATCCAAGAAATGCAGAAGTTCTTTAAGTTGGAGGTGACGGGGAAGTTGGACTCTGACACCTTGGAGGTGATGCGTAAGCCCAGATGTGGAGTCCCTGACGTGGGTCACTTCAGTACCTTTCCTGGCTCGCCGAAGTGGGGAAAAACTCACCTTACTTACAGGTAATGGGTTCATAGATGTTTACACATAAGACTAAAACTTTACAAGTTACAGTCATAGGAGAACATGTTAACTTCTATTTTTCTTTGATAGGATTGTGAATTATACACGGGATCTGCCAAAAAATGCTGTTGATTCTACCATTAAGAAAGCTTTGAAAGTCTGGGAGGAGGTGACTCCTCTCACATTCTCCAGGATTTATGAAGGAGAAGCTGACATAATGATCTCTTTTGCAGTTAGAGGTAAAAACAAACAAACATGAAATACACACATTTATCAGGTGTTGTTTTATTGGAAAAGGTTTAAAAAAATCCTAATTGCCTATCTTTCCAATTTGAAAACAAACATTTTCTCTGTTAGAGCATGGAGATTTTAGCCCCTTTGACGGACCTGGCAGAGTCTTGGCTCATGCCTATGCACCAGGACCAGGGATTAATGGAGATGCTCACTTTGATGATGATGAAAGATGGACAGAGGATAAAACAGGTGAGTTACACATCTCTCATGGTGATTTTATTGCTAATTTCTTTTTATATTGAGAAAACGCTCAATAATGCATAAGAAATGGAATGCTCAGAATTTTCTAATTAGTAAGAGAATGTATTTTTCTTTTAATTATTGTTGAAAACTTTTTCAAATGCCTAAAGGTTTTTCCCCATCTAGTTAAACACAATTAAAATAAAGAAAACAATAATGAAGTGTTTCTTTGATGACTGTGAATCTTGTGTGATCTTCAGTCCATTATTTTTAAGACCAAATTCTCATTATATCAGATTTCAGATATTCAAGGAATATTAAATCTACACTGATCCTAATATATGTCCTCAATAGTCTTTATATATTTCCCCCATTTATTTCATTCTTCTTCAAAACAGAAGTCAGAATTAAATTGTAGGCATTGAGGTTCTCTTGTAGGTTATTCTACTTAAATCAGCATTATATTGCCTCAAGGTTAGGAAGAGTTTTCATGAATTTTTTTGAAGGAAACAAATAAACCCAAATACAATATCCAAACTGTTTAGGTAGAAGATTTCTTCTTGGTTTAAAACTATATACTTTGAAGAATCGCTTCCAAAGTTTCTAACACTCTTCTGAAACAAATAATACTACTTGTAAGATTTGGTTGGGCTTTATAATGAAAATGTGAACAGAATTTCTATACAGGGAACAAATGTGATGGTAGTGATGGTAGTGCTGGACAAAAATTTTGGTTTGAATTATATAATGTCTTCCTGCAAAGTCTCAAATGAGAATTTTCATAGGGCCATGAGTTAGGAAAATAACACTTTGAAAAGTAGACATACTTGTTGTGTCAATCACAATTACCAGTGCCTTCCAATTCCCACATTATGGTTATTTTCATATAAAATATATGAATAGAGCCAGTGCTAGTGTGGCCAAAATCTCTTTTCTGACAAATGTTAGACATGATTGAGCATGTTATATTTGCAACCAATTCTTCCAAATCATATGATACCTATCATTAGTAATCTTTTTGACTCAGTATGTGTTTACTAATGATGATAAGGCAGAAAAACTGTTCAGTCAATATTCCAAAGGAAAATAACTGGAGTATGGTTGTTAAAAGGTAAGAATTTCAGAATTGAAATGATTCAACTGTGATTCACTTAACTGAGTATGTAATTGGCAAATGATACTACATTGAAACAGTGTTTAGCTTTTTAAATTCTCACTGACAAATGAAGAGAAATATTTATTGGTATTCTAAACAATTGGGTCCATTACAGTCCTGAACAGAGGAAAAGACTCGTGATTCCTGTGAAGTTAATAGGTTCTGCTGCTGGAAGGAGGGGTGGGGACAAGAAGTTAAATTTAGTGCTATCAATTGAATTTTATGTCCTCAAAGATATGTTTTGTAAATCCAGCTTCTATGCCTGTGGTTATAATCCCATTTGGTTATGGGTTGCCTTTGCTATTTTAATGTGGCAAGATTAGAGTAGGGTATATTTTTGGTCAATCTCTCTTGAATTGAATATAAGAGATTAAACAAGCAAGCTAAGGAGTGGAAATGGGGAGAGAGATGCTAAGCCACAGGAAGATCACTCAAGAGCTCAAGCTGAGAAGAGGTAAAGACTTTCCTTCAGAGTCAACAGAGAGAGAAAGCCTTCCCCTAGAGACAGCACCCTGAATTCGAAGTTCTAGCCTCCTAAAATGTGAGAAAGTAAATTTTTGTTTGTTAAAGCCATCCACTTATGGTATGTCTGTTATAGCAGCACTATTGTTGTTGCTATGTGCCATCAAGTTGAACCCGACTCATAGCGACCCCTCCTTGGATTTCCGAGGTGGTATCACTATGGAAGTAGATTGCACAACCTTCCTTCCAAGGAGTAGCTGGTGGGTTTGAACCGCCAGCCTTCTGGTTAGCAGTCAAGTGCCTTAGGCACTATGCTACGAGCTCCCATAGCAGTACTAGATAACTAAAATATGTATTTAGACATTTTGTCTTAAATATTGACTTCAAGTATGAGCTTTGAGAAACACTTGGCTTTCTCTGGATGGTACAAATGGTTAATGCACTTGGCTGCTAACCAAAAGTTTAGAAATTCAAGTCCACCCAAAGGCTCTTTGGAAAAAAGGCCTGATGATCTACTTCCAAAAAAATCAGCTATGGAAAACCCTGTGGAGTGCAGTTCTACTCTGACACACATGGGTTCACCATGAACTATAGCTGACTCTATGGCAACTGTATTTTTTTCCTCCCCATAAACTATGTAATCCATTCATCAATTAACCAACAAACGGCATAAAAGGTATGAACAAACATGATAAACATCTGAGTTGTGAAATTTTGTACATATATTTAAAGAATAAATAATTGTTATTTATGATTTATCAAATAGGGACCAATTTATTCCTTGTTGCTGCTCATGAACTCGGCCATTCTCTGGGTCTCTTTCACTCGACTAATGCTGAAGCTTTGATGTACCCACTCTACAACCCACTCACAGACCTGGCCCGGTTCCGCCTTTCTCAAGATGATGTGAATGGCATTCAGTCCCTGTATGGTGAGTGACATTGGAAAATTGAATACTGTAGCTCTGCAGGAAAGCTTTACAATGATGGTCTTTAGGAAACTTGAAAAGGCTACAGGAAGTTTCAACTTAAAGCACTTTGAGAATGCTTGGAAAGTATGGTTATTGATGGACCATCACATTTCTCCTAAAGTTAGCATTCCTGCATCTGTTTCCTTAGGTCCTCCCCCTGTCTCCCCTGATGAACCTGTGGTGCCCACAGAACCCATCCTTCCAACACCTGAGACACCAGGCATGTGTGACCCTGCCTTGTCCTTTGATGCAGTCAGCACTTTGAGGGGAGAAGTTCTGTTCTTTAAAGACAGGTGAGAACAGAAAAGTTTGTTTCCTATCTATTCTTTAAAGATTTCCAGCCTTGGAAATCCTGTGGGGGCAGTTCTACTCTGTTCTATTAAGTCACTATGTGTGGGAATAGGCTCAACAGCAGTGGGGTTTTATTTGGTTTGGGTAGTCCTTGATCTACTATAGTTAGAGAGAAGAACAAATTGAAATTCTTAGCGCTTTTTAAACATTTAAAACAAAATGCTTCCTCTGAACTTTGAAATCATTGAGATCTTATTTCACTCTTTCCATGCTTTCTTAAGTTGTCAAGTTCAAGTTTTGAAAACTCAGGATGATTCAATACTTGTCCTTTAATTTTCCCAAATATGAAAAGTCACTGTTATTTTTCAAAAGGCATCAATAGGTCCTCAGTGTAAGAATGTTTATCTTTATCATCTTTAAAAATGACACCATGGTCAGTATTACATTTCATCAATTTGTTTACTTAGTGCTGGATAAATATGCACATAATAAAACATTCAAAGTTCATGAAAGGAAGAAAAGCTCAAAGCAAATCTCCTTCATATCGTTGACTCCCATTTCCTCAGTTCTTCCCATACTGATGCATAGTCAAGAACTCTTGTATGTCTGCCCATAATTATATACTTATATAAGAATATGTTTCTATAGCACACATACATACACACATTTGCCTACTTTTCTGAAAAGTGTAAATGATAATACAAGAAACACATGTTTTGTACATTGAAAGTATTTAACACTTACATTTGGCTAACTAATCTGCTTCGTAGGATAACTTTACTTCCATAGAAGACATTCTAGAACCCTATACCAGGCAACCCATTGTAGGCTTTTGAAGAAAGGTAAAGATATTGCTCAATGACTATACACAATTTCTCAGACTTTTATGGAGCCTGGGAGCTCTGGTAGCATAGTGTCTATGGCACTTGACTCTTAATCAGGAGGCTGGCGGTTCATACCCACTTGGAACTCCTCGGAAGGAAAATGGGGCAATCTACTTCTGGAGTGATACTGCCTCAGAAACCCAAGGAGGGGTCACTATGAGTCGGGTCTGACTGGACGGCACATAACAACAACAGAAGATGAGAGAATAGAGGGAGATAGGTCAGACAGAACATGAGGAAAATTTCTTTAAGATGAAAGATTTTTCAATTTACATCTCTAATATATATAATTTTATATATATCCCAGACATTTTTGGCGCAAATCCCTCCAGACTCTCAGCCCTGGATTTCATTTGATCTCTGAATTTTGGCCATCTCTTCCTTCAAGCATCGATGCTGCATTAGAAGTTGTTAGCAAGGATACTGTTTTCATTTTTAAAGGTAATTATTACATAATATTTTCTTTAACTTGTGGAATCAAACCATTTTACCAGAAAATTGAATTAGATTTTAATTCTCTCTGTAATATCAAATTCTGACACCCTAAGTTAGTGAAGAAGTAACTAGGATTGAAGTTACACCCAGTCTTCATTTATTGACATGATTATGTCCCAAAGACCAAGTCATTATGCGAAAATTGGCATTATGGGAAAATGGAGGATGAACACATTATCTCACAAAATGGAGGATGACTAAATCATTACACAACTGCCAATTACATCATTACATAACTGCAAAATTCAATCCTTACATAACTGCAAAATTTCACCCTTACATAACTGAAAAATTATTTCATTACATTACTGCCAAAATTCTAAAAATCATGGTCCAGACAAGTTGACACATAACCTTAATGATCACAGCCAGCACTACTTTTGCTTTGCACTTCAACATTTGTTACTGCCAGATGTACATTGTTAATAAGCAAAATAGTTGGATAGTAGATTTTTCACTACTGTTGGAAATGTGAAATGTTGGATAATGAGATAATTGATGTGAAGAGTAGATATATTTTATTTATATTTTACAGATGATAAAAATTAACACAGAAAAAGAAATTGTCCAGAGTCATCAATTTCTTCCTTTTATCTTTATTCATTCATTCAGTTAAATATTAATTTGACCCACAAATTTTTGTTAAATGCATGCTAGGAGCTGGTAGTTAAATCTAAAATATTGGCTTCCTCTTACAAAAATCAAATGTGCTAAAACGTATTTGTAAATCCAAATGGCTCACTTGTTAAAAATGTAATGTGACCCTGAATTATTATTATGTTTAATAATGTATTTTATTTTGTTGTTGAAAATATACACAACAGAACATACACCAATTCAACAATTTCTACGTTCACTATTTAGTGACACTGACAACACCCTTCAAGTTGTGTAGGCATTCTCACTTTCTTTTTCTGAATTAGTCCTCCTCCACTGACATGAACTCACTGCCCCCAAACTTCTTATCTAATCTATTGACTTGCTGTTGTCAATTTGATCACATATACATAGATGTCACAAATAGTGCAATGTTCAAGGCAGGCATTCTTTCCTACTTAAGCTAAATTATCATTTGGTTTAATTAAAACATCAGGGGCTATTTTTGGTTTAAGGTTTAAAGATTGTCTTGGGGTGAATTTTTTTAAAAACAGGGAATCAGTTCTGGGCCATCCGAGGAAATGAAGTACAAGTAGGTTATCCAAGAGCTCTCTACACCCTGGGCTTTCCTTCAACTATAAGGAAAATTGATGCAGCTATTTCTGATAAAGAAAAGAAGAAAACATATTTCTTTGTAGAGGACAAATATTGGAGGTAAGATGCAATCAGGATACTTTATTTAGACTCTCATTAGCAGAAATATTCTCTTTCTCTGCAAGAAATTGCCTCTTGCTGTGACCTCTTCCTTGGCAGGATAGCGCTTTAGATAACATTGGAAAGTTGTTGTTGTTGTTGTTATTTGCCATCGAGTCGCCCCACTCATAGCGACCCCTCCTTGGGTTTCCAAGGCAGTATCACTATGGAAATAGCATTTCCCAACCTTCCTTCCAAGCAGCAGACATTAAAACCTAGCAGCGCCTCTGACTAGTCATCAACAGGCAAGCTCTTGTATTTTGAGTCCCAGGTACAATAAGTTGGAACTTCCCCTTTGTGCTATAGCCCCTTCTTTCTGAACACTTCTTTTCTCCTCTCTACCTAACCAAATCCCACTCATCCTTCAGGGTGTGGCTCAAGTCTCACCACCTCCATGAAGCTTTCCTTCATAGACACAAGCCTACTGGGCACTTCTGGCTCTGAACTTTCAAGTCCTGAGAACCTAGGCCACAATTTACCATCCCGTTCTCATTGTGTTATAAGTCTTCAGATAGTCTCATTGTGTGTTTGTTTTGTCTTCCTAACCTTACAACATGATTCTCAAGGGCTTCCCTTAAACTCCCCCATTCATGACCACTGCTTGTGTAAGAGGAAGGCAAACAATAGCAGTCTACTTTCGTGGATAGGGTGCAAGAATCCCGGGCTGATTCCCAGGCCATGTGCATACCTAAGACATCAGGCTTTACAAGCAAGGTCGTTCCAATGGTCAAAAAACCACATTTACTGTACTGTGCTTCTCAGCCCACATCCTTTTTCTAAGAGGCTTCCAGAGAAAACTGAGACGTACAAGATAAGGAAGGTAGGTATCTATAGGCCAAGTGTGGTAGACAACTTGAAATTTGTTCTTTATTTAATTTTATTTATTTAGTTGTTGTTTCTCAGAATATACACAGCAAAACATAGACCAATTAAACAGTTTCTACAAGTCCTATTTAGTGACTATATTTTTCAAGTTGTGCAACTATTTTCACCCTCCTTTTCTAAGTTGTTCCTCCTCATTAACATAAATTCATAGTAACTTAAGGTGCTTATTTAATCTTCCAATTTGCCTTATCAAGTTGATCCCATAGAGATTGTTCTTAAAAGAACATAATGCTCGGGGTAGACATTTATTTTTACTAGTTACACTAAACTACTGATTGGTTTTAAGAAAACTTCAAGGGATATTTTTGATTTAAGGTTTAAAGATTATCTCAGAAAACTAGCTTTTGAGGTTCATATACCTCCTCGGAAGGAAGGTTGGGCAATCTACTTCCGTAGTGATACTGCCTCGGAAACCCAAGGAGGGGTCGCTATGAGTCTGGGCTGACTTGATGGCATATAACAACAACAACATACCTTTCATGGCTCCAGAAAGTTTAGAGTCCATGCGATTTAAATTCCATTCTGCATTTTCCCCTTTTTGATCAAAATTCTTCTATAGAATCTTTGATCAAAATGTTCACTAATGGTAGCTGGGCACCATCCAATTCTGGTCTCATGGCAAAAAGTCACTGTTTTTCATGGAGACAATTGGCCACATATTCCATTAAAAAAAAAAAAAAAAAAACCTCACTGCCATGGAGTCATTTTCAACTCATAGTGACCCCTCCTTGGTTTTCTGAGGCAGTATCTCTACTGAAGTAGATTGCCCAGTCTTCCTTCTGAGGAGTGGCTGATGGGTTTGAACCACCAGCCTCCTGGTTAACAGTCAAATGCCTTAGGGACTACATCACCAAAGCTTCGACATATTCCATATCCTCTTCTTATTCCTGACTCTCCTTTTCCTTTGTTGCACCAGGCAAATACCAATTGTTGTGCTTTGGATGGCTGCTTACCAGCTTTAAAAACTCCCAAGCACTACACAATGAAGTAGAACAGAAGCACTAAACATGTTATTAGGTCAATAACTTGGATTTGAATTTGTGTTTTAAATTTATGATTCAATTTACTTTTTGTGAGTGTTGTATGTGTGCGTGCTTCATACACCTTCATGTCTTTGTGATACATAGAAACTTAAGTGTGTATTTTACAGGCTTAAAAAATAAGATCACAGGCAGCATCTGTTACAGCAAATTGTTGCCCCTGATTTTGGTAGAAATATGGTTTTAAGAGCTAAGTTTGCAACCTCATTAAAGTCATTCTGTAGTGCTGTACGTGTTTGACATTTATTTGCAGTACTTGGAAAGTTTACTATAATTCCACATTAACCCTAATACAATTTATGAGTTTTGGCAACATAACCTCTGTGTAACATGGAGCTGTATTTCTTTCACTCGGTGCAGATTTGATGAGAGAAGACAGTCCCTGGAGCCAGGCTTTCCCAGGCAAATAGCAGATGACTTTCCAGGGGTTGACCCAAAGGTTGATGCTGTTTTTGAAGCATTTGGTAAGAAGACACTTATTTTGTTGGCAATGGGGAACTTGAAACTATCAATGGTATCAAAGAAAAGAGGAGAATTGAAACAATTCCTTGTTGTTGTTGTTGTTGTTATGTGCCGTTGTGTCAGCCCCAACTCATAGGGACCCCTCCTTGGGTTTCCGAGGCAGTATCACTTTGGAAGTAGATTGCCCCATCTTCCTTCCGAGGAGTGGTTGGTGGGTTTGAACCACCAGCCTTCTGGTTAGCAGTCAAATGCCTTAGGCACTATGCTACCAGAGCTCCCAGAATTCTTTAGTAACATTAAAAAAAAAAAAAAAAAAAATTCCCTACCACCCTCCTTCAAATTTATAATTTACCTACTTTTATACCAATTGTATATTTTTTTCATATAATAAGTTGTTTTGAATTTTGAAGATAATGATCACAAATCTCTACTTTATTTTATACATGTAGTGTAGCATCTTCTTATCTAAAGCTATTATCTTCCAGTAACCATGTAAAATCTCATCAAGTGTGGACTGGGTTTCATAATGACTGGTGATTTTCTATTCTGTCCTCTCCTATCATTACTGCTAATTCCCAGGGAGACTTTTTCTGTCTCCCCTGAGTATTAATTATTGCTCAAACCACTCAGTTGTAAATATTTACTTTTCCATGTGTTGAAAGTTTCAACGACAACAGATAGATAGATAGGTAGATAGAAAAACAGATAGAAACATAGATAGATATAGATATAGATTCCTAGTCTAAAATAGGTGTGTGATGGCTGATGATCTTTATTAAAGATAACGTGAGCATCATGTTTGCAGGTAGTCAAGAGTCCTAGGATGTTTTGAAAGAATCACCATGTCTCTGAGGCCAGAAATGCCCCTCAGGCTGAGAAAAGTAGGAAGATGGAGTATAGGGAAGAAATAAAATGAAGAGATCATAGTTTCCAGACAAGCAGAGAATTTATCTAATTGGGAGCAAATAATCTAATCATCAGGAGCTTGGCTTTGTTGTCAGAGCCAGCATTGAGCACTGTCTCCATTTTTTGGTTGCTCAGTAACTTTGTGTCAAAATCTAAATCTGTGTGTATTTTGCCCATCTGTAAAATGGAGATATACTTCTCTCACAGGATTATTGCAGAAGTAAGTGAGAAAATCATGTCAATTGTGTGGCATAGTCCCTGGCACAGAGTAAAACTACAAACACATTCTAATTTTAGGTAGCTGTTTCTGAGTATTGTGTGTTGTGAAATTTATGTATTTGAAAAAAATATCTCACTCTTTTCCTTGTCTGTATTTGTAGGGTTTTTCTATTTCTTCCATGGATCTTCACAGTTTGAGTTTGACCCCAATGCAAAGAGAGTGACACGTATTTTGAAGAGTAACAGCTGGTTTAATTGTTAGGAGAGATGCTTAGATGGCATCACATGGACATTTTAAATGAAGCTAATAATTTTTTCTTTAAATCTTTGTTAACTGAAATGATTCGTTATCTCCCACATGTCCAGTGACTGGAGAACATGAGCATGAACTGTGTTTCTTGCCAAGAATCTGCATGTATTACAGGGCATTCAAACGAGCTGCTTAACTAGCACTTTGGTCACTTGGTGTCACTTTCTAAGGAGAAAGGGAGGTATTTATGTGCAATAGATGAAGGATTGTATCTACATAGATTATTTGCTTGTTATTTAATAAAGATATTAAGTCAATTATTTTATTGTATTGTTTTTTCGTCTGTTTTAAGAACAAGTGATTCTCACAACTGTGGACACTTTTTTGGACTGAGTAGCTGACAACCTGAGATAGTCTTTCAGTGGGGTGGTAGGATTAGGGTTCTCCATGACTGAAGCCTCACAGTAGGCTCAACCAGAGGCTGCAGAGAATCCATGACTTGTCCTCTCATGCACTGTACAAACAGGATGTTTATTCCTACTACTCAACCATAGAATGTGCTTCTGATACACCTAAGGAAAAATACTTAGGGGAATTATCAACTTCTAGAGCAAGTTTAGGGGAAATTCATGAAGCAGAATCCTATAATCCTAGCAAATCACTTAGTTTGTATACCTCATTTACTGGTGGGAAATAAAACCTGTTCTTCATCTTTTGCTTTTACTTATATAGTCCCTCTCTCACCCTAGCAAACAAATTTCCTCACATCCACCTTATTCACACATAAAATGCTGAGTCTAAGACACTTTATTGCCCCCAAATTAATAAGACCTGACACACAGTAGGAGCACATTCACTACTTAATTTACTCATTTACCTGCCGATAATTTATTAAGTATATTATATGTGGTAGGCTTTGTGCTAGATTTTATACATAAGATTCTGATAAAAATGGATGTATTCTCTGCCTTCATTGAGTTTATAATATAGCAAGAAACATTTTATGTATATATATAATGGAGCTCTGGTAGCATAGTGGCTAAGACACTTACCTGCTAACCAGACGGCTGGCGGTTCAAACCCACCAGCCACTCCTCGGAAGGAAGGTTGGGCAATCCTACTTCCGCAGTGATACTGCCTCGGAAACCCAAGGAGGGGTCGCTATGAGTCGGGTTTGACTCCACGGCACATAACAACAACAACAATATAATGACAAACATGAGCATGAAATTACAAATTTAATGCCAATTAAAAAGAGAAAAGAAATGACTTTGCTAGAATAAGAAGGATCCACTTTGAACTAAGAAACCCTGGTAGTGCAATGGTTAAGTGCTCAACTGCTAACTGAAAGGCTGGAGATTCAAACCAACCAACCTAACACCTCTGTGGGAGAAAGATCTGGCAATCTATTTCCATTAAGATTACAGCCAAGATGTAATCTTAACTTCATGGGGCAGTTCACAAGTGTTTACTATGAGTTAGAATTGATTAGATGGCACCCAACAACAACAATTTTGAACTAGGAGGTTTCAAAAGGGCTCACTGAGGGAATGATATCAATGCTGAGTTCTGACAAAATGAATAGGAGTTAACTAGGTAGAGAGAGAGGTAAACGTATCTGAGGAAGAGGTAATAATTATTGCAAAGGCCTTAGGTGGGAAAAACTGTGACAGTTTGAATAAGTGAAAGAAGGCCAATTGGCTAGAGTGTTGTGAGTCAGGTGCCTAGCTGGGGAGCGGGATGGGAGGGTTGAGGCATGGGATGAGGTTCAACAGATAGGTACAAGTCTAGTTGTGCTCTAGACCTTGATCAGGAAACTTTCTAGAAAGGGTCAGATAGGAAATATTTCAGGTCTTGTGGGTCATTTACCTCTGCCACTGTTTCAAAAGCAGCCAGAGACAATATGTGAACAAGTGAACATGACTGTGTTCTGATAAAACTTCTTTTATGAGCACTGAGATTTGAATTTCATATAATTTTCCTATGTCATGAAATATACTACTTAAAAACCGTATTTTCACTGTGGGACTATATAAAAAAAAAGGCTGTGGCCAGATTTAGCCCAAGGTCCATGTTACCTGGCCCTCTTTGTATAATATAGTAAATTATTTTAAATACATTGGAAAGCCATTGAAGGGAACTTAAGCACTTACCACCAGTTGCCATAAAGCTGATACAATTTAAGCAATGCACATAATTGGATACGGATTTTAAGATACAAGTTGGATATGGAGAAGATTTTAAAGGGCAGTGTACAGACTAGCTAAGGGCTTATGATGGGTTGGACTAATGAGGACACAAAAGAGACTCAGAGACAAAAATAGAGATTATATATATAAAATTATCATTTATATGTATGTGTGTGTGTATGTGTGTGTATGTTGTTGTTATGTGTTGTCGAGTCAAACCCGACTCATAGCGACCCCTCCTTGGGTTTCTGAGGCAGTATCACTAAGGAAGTAGATTGCCCAACCTTCCTTCTGAGGAGTGGCTGGTGGGTTCGAACCGCCAGGCTTCTGGTTAGCAGTCAAGTGCCTTAGGCACTACACTACCAGAGGTCCCCTGTGTGTTTGTGTGTGTGTGTGTGTGTATTCTATCTATCTATGTGTCTATCATTTATATCTATGTTGGAGATAGATGCAGCAGGAATCACTTAGATATGGTGTTTGAGGGAGAAGGAAGTGTCCTAGATAGTTTACTTGAACATATAAGTTGATGATGACAACAGATACTGAGATGGGAAAGAGTTGGCAAAAGCAGGTTTTGGAGGGAAGGACAACAGTTAACAAAAAATCATTACTTTTGCCAATTTTTGGAATGTGTGTGTGTTATCAAAGTAAGTCATGAGATAAATAAACCTGAAACTCAAGAGAGGATGTAAAAACGTGGAACTTACCAGCATTTAAAACCATGAATAGCGAAGAGATCATATGGGGAAATTTTGGGATGGAGCTATATTAAGTGGTAACATTTTGGCTAAGATATCCAGCACTTCTTTATTTTTAAGCTTATCTAAACTAATTTCATTTGTTACATGGGGCCCCCATAAGTCAAAATCAACTTGAAAGCAATGGGTTTGTTTTTTGAATTATTATTATTACTATTTGAACAGATACTACACAGCCACAATTCAAAATTCAAAATGCAGAAAGAGTATAAAATGAAAATAAGTTTTCCTCCCACTCCTGTCTTCACTATCTAGTTCTTTCCTTCAGGGACAACCAAATACCTCTGAAAATTATTTAATGCATACAGAAATATTGAAACCATTTTTAAAGTGAAAATGATAAAATGCAAATTGAAACCGTTTTGCTTTTTTCATCCAATATATGTTGACAACAATTCTGTGTAGAACTGCTAACCCTTTTCATCAACTGTATCCTATGGCTATATTGTAACTTATTTACACTGAACTCTGCTGATGATGGAATAAATCACACATAAAATAAAGACCTACTTTGAAAAATTAATTTTAAAAAAATAATAATAAATAAAATTGATGTAAAAGATATATTTGTTTTGAATATTTTTTCTTTTACACCATGCAATAAAAATTTCTTTGAGTGCACTTGCATATCTGATGAAAAATCTAAACCTTCAAAGATGAAGTGGAGATGGAGGAGCAGGTATGTAATTCATTGAGTTTTCCTTCATGAGGGCCATTAATATATTTTACAGCAGCAGAAAGAGTTGAAGTTTGATTCAAGTGGGTTGAAAATTGGTAAGTTAAGATATTTTTGATTACAAGAAGCAACAATGCCAAGTTGTTAAAAATAAAAGGATTTATTGACTCATGTTATTTAAAAATAAAATAGCAAAGCAAATTTCAATGTGATCTGGGTTCTGGCTTCTTCACTCTACTACTGTCTTGAATTTGTTTTTTGTGTCATTTTTTCCTTGAGGCTGGCTTTCCTTAGGACAAAAAGACAACTATAGTAGTTCCAAGCATCATACTCACAGAAAGGATTGCAATAAATCATCAAATAACAATTTAGAGTCTCCCTTATCTGGACCACGTCTAATCCGATGGGCATCCAGGTCATTCCAGACCAAATACTGTATCAAGGAAGATAGGTTGCTTTTATATAGTATGGGTGAAGTAATGGTTATTGAGGCAGCAATCTCTGTCCATTTACCACAAAGAGAGAGTGAGAGATACAGAAATGGAAATAAGATGTGCAGGCAATTCTTGGTCTGGATAGGAAGCAAAAAATACTTTCTTTGTGCTCCCAGGCCTGATTCATAGTCCTTATGAAAAGTCTATGCTTGATTAGGATAAAATAGCTAAATGACCATTTATTCTTGTCTGTGGAGCTGCACTTGGTTTTCACTTGGCTACTGATCTAGAGGCTGGCACTTTGAACCCATCAAGTGGCACTGCAGAAGAAAGGCCTGATGATCTGCTTAGAAAACCCTATGGAGAAGTCTACTCTGTAATGCACGACTTTGCCATGAGTCAAAATTGATTTGATGGCAATGGGTTTGGTTTTTTGGTTTTGGGGAGCTTGATGCATAGTATTCACTTAGTTCTCATAAGGACTATTGTTGTTGTTGTTATGTGTCGTCGAGTCGGACCCCACTCATAGTGACCCCTCCTAGGGTTTCCGAGGCAGTATCACTATGGAAGTAGATTGCGCAACCTTCCTTCCGAAGAGTGTCTGGTGGGTTTGAACCACCAGCCTTCTGGTTAGCAGTCAAGTGCCTTAGGCACTACTCTACCAGAGCTCCTATTGAGTTGGTGATTTTTTCCAATATTGCAGAGATAGTAAGTGCAGAATGATATAGTAACTTTGCCATGATTACATATTTAATATAGCCAGTATTTATTTTCATATCTTCCTGATTTCAAAGATTATGCTCTAAATCTATGGTAATAGATAATAAATCAACTTGTTATCTTATTTACTTAGTTTTTATCCCCTTCTGAACTATGTTGTTGTTGTTGTTATTTGCCGTCGAGTCGGCCCCGACTCATAGCGACCCCTCCTTGGGTTTCCGAGGCAGTATCACTA